CTTGGTTTTGTGGATAGTTTTAATGAGAAAACACAGCAGAAAGACCCAGGCCATGGGCTGCTCTTGGGCGAGGTCTTCAGGTGCCCACTGAAGGCAGATGAGGCTGTGTTTGGGATGGGGAGAAGGAAGAGCAGCCACAGCACCAGCTGCTGCTCCACTCCATGGAATGGGAGGGCAGGTTTTTGGAGTCAAAATATCCATGGCCTGGGATGACACTGGATGGTATTGCTGAGAGCCAGAGCATGTTCCCCATGTCATAGGAAAATCTGTTTTCCAAGTGAACCATGCAGTGGAAGGACATTTAACCAAAGTGCTGAGTTTAGAAGCTGTTGTGTGAAGAGCTGTAGAAAAGCAAAATTAAATAACCCGCAAAAAAACTCAGTGCTTCAAGTTATCATCTGAGGAAGCAAGGTCAGAACTGTCCTGGCATGGAGTTGTCAAATACAGGATGTTGCAGTGGTTTGTAAGGCTTGGAATTGCAAAAGCTCCCTCTGATGTTATCTGCAGGGTTTTGAGCTTAGCTTTGTGGCATTTGGTGGCATTTTTCTTCTTTCACCCTTGTATTTGTGTATCCAAATGCACAGAACTCCAAAACCCTGTGAAGTTTTAGGCTGAAGCTGAAGGTGCTTCAGAGGAAGCAGCTGATGTTTGTGATCTGAGACCTTAAACCCTCAAACATTGAATTTCCTTTTGAAGTCCCTTCAAGATGTCACCTTCAATCTCCTCCTTCAACACCCAAATTGAATCTAATTCCTGGGAGATTAGATTACCCATCAGTGGCTGCTGTTGCTGTGACACTGTCCTGAACGAGGTGTTTTTGCTGGTCCAGACCCTTAATCAGACAGGTAGGGATGTCCAGGACTGAGTTTCCAGGATGATTTAATCATGGTCACTTGGCTGGTGTCTGGTAGTGACACACAGGAAAGGAACACTCCAAATCGAAGCTCTCTCTGTGCTTTGTGTTATATCAGGAACAGAGAAGAGAAGATGCCAGCTAGAGAAGGATAAACTTGAGGAAGGTTCTGAAGGAAATACTCCAAAAATCACTAATCAAAACCATGAACAAGAAAAGCTTATAAAAAATGACACTTAACAAAAATCAACCCATTTCTGAACATTTTGTGCCATGGTACCTACGTGCATGTACTCACCCTGCCCTAATTTGGGAGGAAGAACCAGGCTCTTCCCTAGGGATTCGGAGAGGCTTTAATTCTTGGGCAGCAGGCAGAGGATGACTTTCTGACTCACTGAGTTAGCAAATGTGATGCATGTCCTGCCTCCCCCTTCCCATAACTTTTATTATTAGCACAAATAAAAGTTACCAGCAGACAAATAAGAGCTGCCACTTGCCCTCGGGGGGCAGTGAGTGAACTCAAGTCATCAGGGGAATGACTTAATGTGAGATTTAATTCACAGTGGAGACCCTTCATAAATCTGGTGACCTTTTTGCCTTTTTCCTTTGGGATAGGGGAGCAGAAAGGAGGGAATTGATGGGAAGTAGGCAGGCTTTGAGGGGACTGGGAGCCTTTTTCCCTAGTGATTCCATGACAGGCAAAGCCCCATAACACATCCTGTGGCAACTGGAGCAAGTTCTGCCATTTGTAGTTGCTGTCACCTCAGTCCTGAAAGTGAGTGATTTAATTAGTGGCTTATCTCCAGGACTTTTTCCTATCATTAGATTAGGCTTTATTGGGGGCCTGAGAGGTGAACTCAAGCCTTGTTGAATCTGATAGAAGTTTTGCTATTTGATGTTTAGGAGCTTGCAATTCTTGACAAAAATCCAGGCTCAGAGGGGGTTCCCTTTCCAAACTATGAACAGTGTTACCCTAGGTACTGGCGCAGGAGGAAATCTCAGTGCAGTAGGTGTGTATTGGTGGCTCATGCTGGATGGAAATGCCTATGTCCTCTGTCAAAAGGAATGTCTAAAAAGGATTTCCATAAGAATCAAACCTGTTTGTGAGGTGGGAAAGGCAAGGTGAAAGCAGTCAATCCTGCTGTCCTTGGAAGCAACCAAGTTTGGAGCCCTGTGGTTAATTTTGTTCTCCTCTCCCTCCCTGCTCCTGTGCCTGCACAGAGATGATCGTTGACAATCAGATCGAGACGGGGCTGCTGAAATCCGAACTGAAGGACAAGGTGACCTATACGCTGCTCCGGAAGCACCGGCACCAGACCAAGAAATCCAACCTGCGCTCACTGGCTGACATTGGAAAGACAGTCTCCAGTGCAAGTAGGATGTTTTCCAACCCCGATAATGGTAATGCAGAGGCTAACTGGCTATAGCCTTCCCTGTCACAGCAACCCACCCAACCCACCTGCCCAGCACTAACTGTGTGGCCCTGACAATGCTTCTCTAACCCCAATTAGTGTAGCGAGACCCGTGCTGATGGCACATCAGCAGAGGGCTCTGACGGCTGCTTCGACCCTGGCACGTCGCTCTAACCTCATCTTCACTGGACTGAGAGGGAGAGGAGGGGAGGTGGCAGGCAGCCAGGCAAGGCAGAGGGATGCTTTTGTAGCTGAAGCTTAGGAGATGATGTAGGAGCAAGTGAGATTGAAAAGAACTCTGATGGGGCCTGAACCTAAGAGGTCCATCACCGGAAACATTTGGGCAGAGACGAAGCTTCCATGCGCGTTCCATGTCTGTAACAGACGGTATCCATGGCACTCTGAATCAAAAAATGACTTGCCAGTAACACCTAGCTTGCATTTTATTGTCATCCAATCGTTGTCCAGTGGGGTAAAGCTGATTTCCATCTTGCTTTATTCGTCCTAAAATGGTTTCGTGGTTCTGTGTTGTGAATACGTCTGGTTTGCTCTCTAAAAAAGGTGTCATAGGTAGTGCCATGTTGGTAGTGGTATCCCTAAATGTGCGTGTGCCTGGATGCAGACAGCTACAGGGGCCTAGGCACTGACTCTGCACTTACCCATGTGTGGAGATTTATGTTGTTCCTTCTCATGGTAATTGAAAAAGAGGAGTTTAAGCCTCTTGTCATGCCTTGAAGTTCTCTCAACTGTCTCCCATGGCAGTCTAGAAATTGGGCTAAAAGTTGCCATCTTAAAATACCCAGAAATGAAAGCAAGTGAAGAAATTCTTTTCTTCTTGCTCCACCAAAGGCCTCTTAGCTTGCTGTGTTTGGCTCCTAAATTTCATCCTAACACTTTTCCCTAACCTATTCTCACACTTCATTGATATTTCCTACTTTGGATCATCCTTTGCTTTTGTAACAGATGTATATGTGCATGTGAAGAATATTTATTGTTGTTGATGATGCCTCTTGTCATGTACAAGTGCCTTGATCACATGGTGATTGAGTGAGTAATGCAAAGGTCCAATAACATGACCCGAAGGAATGTTCTGGGTGAATATCCCTGCAGGAGTCCAATGGAGCAGAGAGGGACTGCACTATAAGGAGGTTCCAGCTCTGGAGAAGGGGCTCAGCATGGCCACATGAGTCCTAAAGCTGGGGGAGCCTGCGGGACCAGGTTGCTCCAAGCTCCATCCAGCCTGGCGTGTTGGACACCTTCCCATCATCTGCTCCCCGTGGTTTGGATGGGAGGCGTCTGCTTGCTTTTAGCACCTTGGAGACTCCAGCTCTTTCTGGACCTTTGAATAGATGGCCAGGTTTGCTGTGAGGAGCAGGACCCTGTCCTGTAGCCATGGTGCTTGGGAGGCTGAACATCGAACAGACACGTCTGTAGCACACGGCGCTTGGGCACTTCAGTCGCCTCATGTAGGGGATGCCTCAATTCTCAGCTGCAAACCTCTTGCCTGCACGTAGGCAGTGCTTATCCTGGGAAAGGGGATGCTGACAAAGGGCATTCCTCACATTTTTACTCAGGCCCTGCTCATTTGTCATGGCTCAGGTGTCATGACTTTCATGACATGAAAGGTGGGAGCTGAGGATAACTCTGGTCCTGAGACCACAGAGCCACCCCCATCCCTGGGGGTGATTTCAGTTTTATTCATTTTGCCTTGTTTAAGGGGGCTGTGCAGGTCCTAGCTCAGTTTGACTGAATCTCCAGGAATTCTTTCTTGGCTCTGACCTTCAGCCACTCCTTTTGTGTTGTTCTGCTTCTGTTACCACACCTGGGATGTTTATATCACACATTATATTCCGTGACAGTTCAAGTGCTTTGAAACTTCAGGGGGGTGAGGCTGATGCTGACCTACACAGGGAAATACTTCATGAGCAGTTGTTGCTGTTATATATTATTTACACTTTGATGAAAATGTAGCTCCAAAATGTATATGATCAAGTTATACCTCAGGTTCAATGAAGTGCCTCTCCTGTCCTTTAGACAGGTAAAAATTTAATGAGGCCAGCAGGAGTGCAGCTGTCTTTCAACGTGGTTAATCACCATAATGAACCTGCTGCCCGCCCCAAGCGCTCCTAAATTTCCCTTGAGTTCCATTCCAGGTAGGTGTTTGCTTTCATTTCAGCATCAGTGAAACTTCCATCCAATATTGATGCTGCTGCCAGGTCTGTGGGACCCTCTGAGCATCCCTCTGCCCTCTGCACAGCAGCTTTATGGGCTGGTGTAGCTGCCATCCTACTCAGCTCTCAGCAGGGACACCTTCTCCTAGCCCATGTCGCTCCAAGCCCTGTCCAACATGGCCGTGAACACTTCCAGGGATCTATTTGGTAGATTTGAAATTTGAAAGCATCCCCTGGGCCATAGCTGTCAAAGATCCCAAAGTTAATTCAGGGCACTTAACTGAAGTTCTAGGGACTCTAAAATGTTCTTGCTTCTACCTTCTGAGAGGACCGAGCCCTGTGCAGTTATCCCAAGTGCATCTAGAAATTCAGGAACCTAAGGAAAACTGTCTGATATACTCCCTGCCATAATTGATCCAGAGTGTCTCCATCCCTTCACAACCCTCCCCAGGGATGGGGGTGGCTCTGTGGTCCCGGGACCAGAGTCATCCTCAGCTCCCACCTGTCATGTCACTGCTCTGTTTGAAGGTCAGGCCGTGAGCAATCAGATGGGCAGAGACATGGCCAAGGTGGGTGTGTGCTGACACCTACTACTCATCACTGTGTCATAAAGGGTCACACTGTGGGAGGGTCTTTTCTCAGAAATCCCTTCACCATAGGAAAGAAATCAGGCAAAAGAAGATAATTCCTTGTGCATCATGCATGGAAGAGGATAAATCACA